GCCCCTTCTGAGGGAGATTTTAATGGCCTCAAACTCAACTTACTCCAGCAGCTTTGTGACAGCAGAGTCTAGTCTCTTGCCTTGCCCAACTGTGGTCCTTCCACATTCCTTCCTTCCTTTCTTTCTTTTTCTAAATGAAATTGATTTTATCCCTCCAACTCTCCCATCCCCCCTTACAGGCCCCCCTACATTCTTTTCCTAATTTAATGTCCTTTCACTTTAGTGCTGGCTGTTGGGATGTTGACTGATCTTGTGTGTGATCTTGGGATGTTGGCTCGGTGACCATAGCTACAGTGAGTTCATGAGCATGATGACCTAGAAGACAGAGCTTTGTAACACCCCTTCTCATTGCCCACTAATTCTCATCTTTAATATTTCATTATTCTCCACCACTTCTCCTCCTTCTGACAGTGTCAGGAAGAGCTATGCCTTGGCTCTTACTTTATCATCTTTATTGAATGGCACACCACAAAGAAACAAATGACTGTCAGCCAGGTGTGGTGGTACACACCTTTAGTCTCAGAGCCTGAGAGGCAGAGGTAGAGAGGTTGGTGAATATCTGTGAGTTCAAGGATTGCCTGGTCTACAGAGTGAGTTCCATACCAGCCTACGAAGTGAAATCCTCACACACACACACACACACACACACACACACACACACACACACACAAATGTTTGCTTCTTAAAAGAAAGTTTTGTCAAAGAAGCATTTCAAACTTTTGACTCAGTGCAAAAGGAATCATTCTAATGGTTTGTCATGTAGGGGCATGTAAGGGGGGTGATACCCATTCTAAGGCTCACACTCCTATAACAAAAGACAGCATAGAGGGCTAGATAGATGGTTCAGTAGTTAAGAGCACTGGCTGCTCTTCCATAGGAACTGGGTTCAAATCCCAGCACCCATATTGCCGCTCACAACTATCGGTATCTCCAATCCTGGGAGATCTGATATTCCCTCCGGCTTTCTTGTCTCCAGGAACCCACACAGTATAGAGACATACAAAGAGCAGAACACCCATACACATGAAATTAAAAAAAAAAAAAAAAAAAAACGACAGTGTAGAAAAAAAATCACTGCAGGTTTATACAATCAAACTTTTACATGACACAGGAAACTTTGGAAATGAAGACCAAATACCCAGGAACAGCTGTCCATTTTTAACATTTTTATTTGGCCAAAATGGATAACTAACTGTGGATGTAATTGGACAAGGAGGTTCACGGCCTACTGGTGAAAGACTAGGTAGGAGAACCAGCAAGGCTGGTCTGTTCAGATTCCTGGTCTGTCTGTGAGGCGGTCAATCTCTATGGTACTGGGCAGAACCCCTCCTAGAAAGGAGGTTTTATGACCTACTACGAGGCAAGACAGGCTAAACCGCCTGCTCAGGGTCAGCTCCTATACAAAAGGGCAGGAGAAGGTTCCAGCTCCTCCTACACAAAAGAGCAGGGGAGGGTTTAAACAAGGTTTCTAGGTTTTATGGCTGTCTCCAACAGAGGGGTAGGGTTCTATGATCCACCTTGGGAAAGAATACATTTTCTTGGTGGTACTAGGGATTGAACCTAGTGCATTGAACAAGCCAGGCAAAGAGTTCTATATCTGAGCCACATCCTCAACTTTAATGTGCCATTTTCTGAGTTTGAAATTCAGCGAAGAAATGTACAAGAATAAGGCATTTAAAAATGGCAGATGTTAGAACTGGGCATGGTGGCTTATAATCTCAGAATTTGAGAGGTAGATTCAAAAGGATTGTGAGTTCAAGGTCAAGATAGGGTGCATGGGGAGTTCACAGAAAGCCTGGGCTACATAATAGCAACACTGTCTCCACTGAAAATCAATCAATTATCAGAACTCTATTTAGTTGAACATCACCGTGGTTAATCCTGTCAACTTTGTGGGATTTAATTAGAAAGACCTTTGACACAAATCTCTGGGCCAATGGAATGGGAAGATCCATCCTAAACACAGGTGACACCCTGCCGTCCCTGATCCTAGACTAATAAAAAGGAGGAAATGGAGTGAGCACCAGCACCGTCCTCAGCTTCCTGACTTAAGACATGAGGGAGCAGTTGCCTCATGTTTACCTCCAGGCCATCCCCTCCATGATAGACTTAAGCTGCAATCATGAGTCAAAATAAGTCGGTCCTTCCTTAAGTTGCTTTTCCAGGCATTTTGTCTCAGTGATGAGAAAAGTAACTTAACACAAGCACAGACTTTTACATTTTTACAATTGTAGGCATTTTTACCAAACTGAAACAGGAAATTTAGAAAGTTCAAATTGTTGCTGAAGTCCTGGCTTCTCACTGCTTAAAGGTCAATGTTTAAGAGATGTGAGCTAGTAAGAAGGAACCCAGGGTTTACCCAAAGAGCAGTGCTCAGGGAAATCCTGGGGACTCATCCACAAAGCTCCATCTCTGGCAACTCTCGGGGTACAAAGGGGTTGTATAGGAGGAAAAGCAAGAACAGGCTAAGAAGGCTGCATGAACCTGATCAGGAATGTCTTTCTGCATATATGTTTCTCTTATTGTGATGAATAAAACACTGATTGCCCAGTAGCCAGGCAGGAAGTATATGCGGGGCTACCAGACTAGAAGAATAGAATTCTGGGGAGAGGATGCAGAAGGTGAGCGGACAGAGAGACACCATGTAGCCGCCAGAGGAGTAGCATGTTGGAGCATTCTCCAGTAAGCCAAGACCACGTGGAAATACTTAGATTAACAAAAATGGGTTAATAAGTAAGAGAGAGCTAGCCAATAAAAAGTCTGAGCCATCAGCCAAATGTTTATTTGGGGCTAAATGGTTGGGGCTATTTGGGGACCAGGTAGGACAGAAACTCCATCTACAGCAACCTTCAGGGAACATAGCTTTGTTTTCCTTCTCCAAAGCATCCAGACATCTCAATAGACAATGGCCTCTCAAGCCAAGTTCCCTTTACTTTTTAGACAGCCAGATTTCTTTTCTGTAAGTCAAACCTCAAAGACATCTCCAGGCTATGCAATATGATGCACAGGATTAATTAAAGAAAAAGCATACGATTCTGATGCTATATAAAGATTCCCAGATACTCTGGGTTCTGTAAATCTAAAGAAAGGTGATTTGTCATTTAAAATCATTGTTTGTTTGCTTGTTTTTGTTTGTTTTAGACAGAGTTTCATATATTTAGGCTGATCTTGAATGCCTGGTAACTTATCAGCTAATATTCCAAACATTTAAAAGGGAGGACTTCTCTTTAGAATTATTGGGCACCAAGAAGGAGGTGTTAGGTATAACAGGGAATAGGGCACAGCAAGGGACAGAAGGCTTGCTGCCCACCTGTCCCTGCCCCCAGGGGTCGGTCATTCCACCAGAGAGAAAAGTGGCAGACAGGTTCCATTCTGAGTGACAGAGATAGAGATGTCTGTTATTTTACTGTGTTTCTCCTGTATTTTGAACATTTATAGAAATTAAGATAAAAGTGAAATACACATATGTAAAACAACCAAAATCCTCTCACCAGGGGTGTTGTGTTGAAACTGTGGGGTAGCATATCACCATTAGAGAGAATAAACAGAAGAAAGAGCAGTAAAGGAACTTGGTTAATGTATCTGTGTATCGATATGGAAAGATTCAAAAACAAAACATGGTGAGCAGAAAAGGAGCATAGGAGCTGGAGAGATGGCTCAGCACTTTATAACACACAGGGGACCAGAGTTCAGTTCCCAGTGGCCATGTCAGGCAGCCCAAAATCATCTGTAACTCCATCTCCAGGGATCTGACACCTCTGGACTCCCTACACACACACACACACACACACACACACAGAGAGAGAGAGACAGAGACAGAGACAGAGACAGAGACAGAGACAGAAACAATAGTATAACAGAATATGTGGTTATATATGATTTAATAAAAATTAAACTGTAAAACTTGGCTACAAATTATTAAAATGGGCTACAGGGTTAACAAACTCATGGTATAACTCTGTGGATGACATGGTTGGGTGGGGGCTTCCTCCATAGGTGATATTAATCTCAGCATGCAGAAGAAACTGGACCTGAAGTCCAGCCTGGGCTACTTAATAAATTCTAGGCCAGCTTGAATTAAAAAGAAGGAAGGAAGGAAGGAAAGAAGGAAGGAAGGAAGGAAGGAAGGAAGGAAGGAAGGAAGGAAGACAATAAAAGAAACTACAAAAAGGAGCATGAAGCAAATAACAAAAAATAACAAAACAAAAGCAAATACTAAATGACAGAAATCAGGCTATCTTGGGCTGGGCACATAGATCAACTGGAAGATGACATAGCTGGCACCCAAAAAAGCCCTGGATTTAATCACCAGCACCACATAAACTGGACATGGTACATGCCTGCAATTCCAGACTCTGCAGGTAGAGGCAAGAGAACTGGAAGTTCAAGGTTCATAGTGATTTCAAGACCAGCCCAGGATAAATGAAATCCCTTCAAACACACACACGAATCAACAGCAAAATAAAAAAATAAAGATGTTTGTTATTTTATTTTTTGTGTTTGGGGATAAGCATAAGCATTTCAGAAACTAAAAGTCCTCCAGACAGACAGTTTTGCTGTCTTTATAAAGTTGGGTGAATTCTAAGCAACCAGACTTGACATTATTAAGTATCCTCTTAAAAGAACTCTTGAGGTTTAACTTATTTGGCAACTCTGGTTGCATGTGTGTCGCTCCTCATATGATACAACAGGATGAAAAAAAAATTGGCACAGAGAGCAGGGAGGAACCTATACTAACCACGCCTAAAATCTGGGCACACCCACTTGCTCACACCCCCCCACCTTATCGTTGTCCCCCTTCCCCATCTCTATTCAGCATTTCCTCTAAGGGAGGTGATAAGACTTGCCTGAGGCCACACTCATTTCCCAGTCCCTCAGCTATTGTGGAAGTTAATACATTATATAGGAGGAGTTTATTGGCTCCTTTAAAACCCTGAGTCTCCGTGCTCCCTGATCATTCCCTCTCAGCATCCTGCCCAGCAAAGAAACAACTCACCAGAATGATCCCAGGAGGCTTGACTGAGGCCAGGCCTGCCACACCAGAAGTTCAGGAGATTGCCGACCAGGTAAGTTGGGGCATTTCAGGGAAAAGTTTGATCCCAAATCAAACTTTTGTCATTTGGTTCAAAATTTGGCTCTGTGTTAAAAGTGTGGGAAATCACAGAAACCAGAAATGTATGGGTTTTAATTCAGACTTTTGTGTAGCTAAAGATGGAACATTAAGACTTTTCAGGGAAATGTCAACCTTCCAAAAGTAAACTTGGACAAGTCACACTACAGCTTCAGTTTCCCCATTAACTGAAGGTGAATTTGTAAAAATAGTCTCTAAACCTTTTACGTACAAGTGTGATCTCAGGACTAACTGAAGCCAAGGTGTGAGGCACCTAAGGTTGTTAAGGATTCCTGAGAGGATTCCCAGGGTGCTGTGCGCACCACACCTTTACAGTCAAAATAGAACCCGATGTTTTTAGCAAGTTCATGCACCTTGCTTAACTATCATCTATATAATAAAAATGTGTTGTGTTGCATGTTTTATAAAAGAGAAATGCATGCAAATTATGGTTGTAGGTTTGCAATCTGTCACCTTATTTCCTTACATCATTTTGTTTTCCTCCCTGAACCGTCATCCTGGCAGACAAGATCAGTTTTGTTGTTGTTTGCTTGCCTGTTTGTTTGAGACGTGGTCTTGCTATGTCCTGATTGGTCTAGTACTTAAGTAACCCGACTGGCTTCAAACTCACAGCACTTCTCCTGCCTCAACTTCCTAAGCATCACCATACTAGGTATCATCAGCTTTTATGTGAGTAGAAGAGGTGGGAGGGAGCCTTCATGTTTAGAACACTGAACATTCTAGAGGAGATCATGGGCCTAAAATTCAATGGCTAAATATTTAAAGCTAAATAGTTCTCACTCATAGCTTTATGTCAATAAATACACTTGGAGCATTTTATTTTTGAAGAAGATAATGCTGAATCTTTATACCTTCATTAGAATCTTCACATCAAGTCTTGTGTTCTCAGACTTGAATGTGCACGTGAGTCACTTGTCGCTCTAGATAAAATGAAGACCTGACTGGAGAGGGCTGGACAGGCCTGCAAGTCCGCATTCTCCCAGGCTCTCAGGAGCTACGGCTGCTTCCTCCCTACAGCTTCACTTTCCAGTAGGACAACATATTTGGCATCCTAGGAGACCTGTGAGATGAATTCCAAGGAAAGGTTCTCCATTTCATTTGTAAGAAGAAAGAGCTAAAATAATGAACATAAAAATTGTTTCAAAAGCAAATATCACAGATGAGGCATCATTGCTGTGTATGTCACCTGAAAAAATCCCCCAGCCTAAAAAATCCCCTAAGATGTTCCAGGAACCAGAGCTATGGGGAATAGATAGGGAAATACAGCTATTTGAAATATAGAAGATACAGAAGATTTTAATGATTTTTTTTAATAGTTGATCACTTGGTTAGCTTGAACAATTATTCTTTTTTGAAAAGTTTGGGGGGGGGGGTCTTGCTGTTTCTCAGAGTGGTCCTCGCAACCTGATAGGCTCAAGTAATCCTCTTGCTTCTAGTCTCCCAAGTACCTGGGACTACAGGAGTGTGTTATCCTGCCTGGCTAGGGTAGTTTTAAGTATATTTTTACCAGTTCTTTGAGAATTTCATATATACATGCAGTGTATCTTGATCATATAATTTTTCCAAGTTAGGAAGCTACCAGAAGGGCTTACCTTGCTAATAACACCATCTGTGGACCACATCTTCGGTGATAAACTTAATTTAGAAGTGTGTTCTTGCACCTTCAGAGAAGTACAATGGGAAATAGATTTTAACAAGGCCACCTCACCCCAGGAAGGAGTTGTAAAAGCCTTGACTTCCATTCCACCTCCCATTTGATCTTCAAAGCCCTAGGGCAGGCAAGGCATTACATCCCATTTTTAGATGATGAAACCAAGACTCAAAATGCTTGAGAGTCAGTCACCCAGTTAAAAAATTTATCTGTCCTTTCCACTGCATGGCCTCAACACACTGGGGAGCTTTTGCAGGTCTGAGGGGAGAGAATGCCACAAACCTGCCTTCTCCATGCAATCCGTGGCCGCGGGTTTAAACCACAATTCACATTGCATAGGCATCAACCATTTCATGGTAGGGGCACTTCCTGAGTCTCTCCTAGGTGTCTAGCATAAGGCTACAAACTGTCGAAGCTACATAAATGGCTATAAGACCCACTGCTCCTGAAAAATTAACAGTATAGAGGAAGTCAAGATATCTAGAGCATATTATAAAATAAAACTTAATTAAGTGCTCTTTCATAATCATAGGTTTAAGACCAAAAAGGCCATTAGGCATGGCTGTCAAACACTTTACTGTAAGGTGAACAAGTACAGTGTGGTGGCTCAGCTCCCAGACATCACTCATCTGTCCTCTCTTGCAGGAGACAGCCTTAGGGAACATTTCCAAGTTAAGGGTTGGGAGGCAGAGACACAGCAGTAAACTGTATATTTTAGGAAGCATTTTCTCAGTCCCATCAATCATTCCCCATCCTCCAAAGAACCCCTCAAGCAGATACTACTGAAATCCTTGTTAAGTCAGGAAATTGAATCAACTCCTCCTAGATTGTTTTTTGGGGGGGGGGCCCACACAGTGTCAGGCCAGAGAGGGTTATTGCATCCCTAGAATGATTTGTGGGGTCAAAGAGAAAATCTCCATGACCTGTCATGGAGATATATATTTTATTTTAAATATATATATATTTTATTATATATATATATATATATATATATGGTACCAGCATGCCCTGGGAATTGAACACTAAACCCACAGAAAGTCAGGCAGAGGCTTTGGGATTGGGAGAATGTAAGAATTTTCAGGGGAGACAGATATTCCTAAAGCTTGTCATTCAGAAAACATTATCAGGTGGCAAGATGGCTCAGCACCCCAACCCATATAATGGTGTGCATTAACTCCCAAAAGTTGTCATCTGATGTCCACAGGCATGCCACAAAACACACACACACACACACACACACACACACACACACACACACACACACACACACACACTCATGCACCCAAATGTACAAGTGATTTTTTTTTAAATTGATTATTTCCAGGTGGTGGTGGCTCACATCTTTAATCCCAGCACTCAGGAGGTAGAGGCAGGCAGATCTCTTTAAGTTTGAAACCTGATCTACAGCGTGAGTTCCAAGACAGCCAGGGCTATATAGAAAGGTCTTGTCTTGGAAAAAGAAAAAAGATTGTTACAACATGAAAATAATGAAATAAAAAGGCATACACATTCCCACCCATGAAAAACCATAACATGTACAATGAAAGATCAAGTAAGCAGATTGCCCCAACAGCAAGTTCAGATTGCAGTTGGTGATCTTTTATTGTCTATGGAAGTAGCCACTGGAAGGGAATTCCAGGTATGTTTATCTGAGGGAAAGAAATGTTATTTTAATGATTATTTTTAGAAGCAAAGGCTATGATTACACATGCAGATGTGTGTGCACACTGCGCATACTCTTCTTCACGTCGGAAACCTGGCTGCTGAACACCATTCCTGGCAAACACACTAAGCATGAGTTTCGTTGGCTGGGACACCACACAAACACCTCATCAGCACAGCTGGACACACCCTGAGCTTTAGCATCACGGCTCCCAGGTCAACCTCGTCTATAGATTTAAGTTCTTCTCTCCAACCTGAGCTTGCTAGTCAGTCCCTTCTCCTGGTGTCCCTTCCCCGGAGAACCTGCCATTCAACCACACCAGAGCTCTCAGGGCGCCTACCCTCCCATCTTTATCAGAACATGCCTAGATCCTCTTGGTCACTCATCCATGACGGATATTTTCATGTACTCCTCCACTCTGATTCCCATGATCCTGTGAGCTGTGACGTTCCAATCTTCAATTAGAGGTCACTCCCACGGCCCCCACTTCCTCCTCCACTTCTGCTCCAGGAAGTCTCAGGACCACGGGAAGCTTACCATTCCAGTGTGATGAATGAATGTCCATGTCATGGCAGGACCCTGGGGACAGCAGAATGTCCTTTCAGCTCTATTTGTTGTTTTCCTAGAAACCTATACCTTCTCCCCGCTGTCGTCATGTGCCCCTCTCCTCCCATGGGCTCCCCTGCAGGTTTCTCAGCTCTTACTCTGCTTGGAAAATTGCTGGCATCTGGCCAGGAAATACTCCAGTTTATCATATTGCTTCAGGTCCAACTCCTGCAGTCCTTCAGTCTTTCCCTTCACTCGTGGCCTAGTGACTTCATTTTCTTCTGTCTGGCAAACTTTTCTTCATACTTCCTTCAAAACATATTAGATGACAAATGTCTGTAAGACATGTCCCACTAGCTTTGCCATGTTTTCCTACTGCTCCATAACTTCTATTTTCTTACTGCAAAATTCCCTTAAATATTGTCTGTCTACCTTGAAGCCATTGTCCTCTAGCCATTCCCCTGTGAAGAATGATGGCAGATTGGGGAAACACATTAAGGTTGGATGCCCCCATGACTCAGATCTTCAGGACCTAGAAAATGAATAGCTCAACTCAGCTAGATTTGCAGCAATTTGAAAAGCTAGAACAACTCTGGAAATGTATTTACTGGGTGCCCCTTCCTCTGATGGAGGACAAAGGGAAAAATGCATCGTTTCCAGCCTTCACCAGACAGTGCAGGTTGTAAAAGGAGAACCGCAACTGGTTACAGCACGGGTCCTGTCTGTCACACCAGGCTCCACAAACACCTTCCCAGCCAGTCCTGACCTTCAGGTACCCCCCACCCTGGAAGTTCTCTCAATGCCAAACTACTTTCTGAATCTTAAATTTTCACTAAGAATCTTCCCATACCTCCCAACTCCCCATCACCACCCAGCTCCATAGCATCCCCCATTAAAGAATGCAAACCTGTCTTACTACAAAGGGGAAGGGGGCCGCAGCTTCCACAGTGAACCAGACATCCAGCAGGCGCCAGTGCTTGTAAGGAAACAAACCAGAGCATTTGAAATCAGTTCTCTTGTGGAAAACTCTGGGCCTGTGATTTACAAAAGGACAATGAAGAAGATACAATTTGGATCCATTAATGGGGGAATATCTGCACAAGGGCTTTCAAATTGCTGTGACAATGATTAATGATTTTTTAACCTTAATTTCAAGTTCCTTACTTGTAAAATGAGGTTAAATAAGTCAGTTTAGGGATTAATGTAGAGATTAGGCATTTTTAACTCAGTGGATACCCAGTGCCTGCATCCTTCCTTTGGCCACTCAAAAGCATCAGGATGCAGAGAACCTGAGATGGAAGTTTCTCCTCACTCAGTCTCTCTGTGCACAGCTCCTCTCTCATGCACCCTGCCTCTTGCCAGTCATCTTTCCCCCTCATTTTGTCTTCTTTCCTCCACTTGAAGCTTCATTTTCCATCTCTACAAAGCAAGCGTTCTCATTCTATCTATCCCAAAGGCTTTGGGAGAAAATGGGTGGTGCGAGCTGGAAGTTCAAAAATAATCTGAGAAGTCAGTCTGCAGACACCTTTGAAAATAGTTCTAGCAGTCAATTGAGGCACCAGAGGAGAAAGTTTGAAAACACCTATCCACTGAGGGGAAGCATTCAGGGGTCTGAGAGAACTCGAAGTGCCCTGGAGGCCTGACTGAGGGTTAATGTGCCTAAGGGCTTCAGCAGAGAGCAGGGAGCCAACTTCTCATTGGAGAAGATCCATTGAAGACAGGGTTAGTTTCCCTCCTAGGGGTAGGAAAAGATTGCGGGGAACACACCCATCAGAAAGGTAACAGGAAGTCAGTAGACACTACCTGAAGGACACAAATAGAAGTGAGAAGATGGAAACTGAGTTGTCTGGAGAGAAGCTGAGCTGTGAAGGGCAAGTCTAAGCCCGAGTCGGAGATTCACACTGTATTAGATGGCTAATGGCTGGCATTGGCAACACCAGAAAACTTAAGGGCAAGACTGAGCCAAGAGACCAGGGGAGCTGATGGATCTGTATGACCAACAGCTAGACCACCCCTGGGTTCTTCCCCTCACGGTCCTCCACCCTGAGACACAAGCTATTGCCCCTTCTCGGCCCTGGTGGGAACCTGGAGTTCGGCTATTGGCAGAAATTGAGGTCAAGTGATCACAGCAGATGCTTGCCCATCAGATCTAGCTGAGCTCCTGAAGAAAAGATGGGTACAGCACACACTCAGTAAATATTCACACACTGAATGTGAGACTAACTCCTTTCAGCAGTGCTGGCGTCTAAGCTTCCATCCACTGCCCTCGACGGAGTGATGGCTCTCTAACAGAATCTGCATTCAGTCCCTGGGACCTGGGAATGTGCTGTCTCACAGGGCAATGCAACTTTGTAGATGTGATGAGGCAGAAACAGAAAGAGGATGTACCCAAATCACTCACAGAATCTTCCTAAAAACCACATGAAAACCCTGTATTCTGATTTGTAAATGTGTTTTTGAAAGGAGTTAAATGAGGAAATCCAAGCTGTTTTATGTGTATGTTAGAACTGATTAATTAAGTAAATAGATTGTGAATGCAAACCAGGCTTCATCCTCAGTGATTGAGAAAGGAGTTACTGCTGAGGGGTCGTGAGGGGTGTGTGACACACACCTTTAGTCCCAGCACTCGGGAAGCAGAGGCAGGTGGAGTTCGAGGCCAAGCCTGGTCTACAGAGCGAGTTCCAGGACAGTTGTCATTATTTCCTAAGCAATATAGAGTAACTATTTACTAGGTGTTTCATTGTGTTAGTTGGTCTAAGTAGTCCAGAGATGAGTTAAAGCGTCTGTAAATTCCATGGTATTTTAACACAAGAGACCTGAGCATCTTGGTATCTAGAGGAGATCCTAGAACCAATTCCCTACAGATACTAAGGGACAAATTTAGCTGTCACATACAACTGTATGTGCACACTGCATATATAATTATGCATATGAATGTATATGTGCACCCACATGTACATATACACATATGAGATGAATTGTTAGATTCACACATATTTGTATTAGTGTGCCTGTATACACTGTGCAGCTTTCCACTGAGGATGCATAGACGCAATGGAAGCGAAAAACAATGAGTATACACACTGCCCTGATCTGAGCCATTCTCCAGGACACTCTCAGAGAAATGGTTAATTAATTACAAAGAGGCTGGTAAAATGGTGAAGTCACATTGAAAGGACACCAACTTGAAGGAGCTCCCAACAGACAAATTGAGGACAATTTAAGCAAAAGAAAAAAAAATACATAAGTCATGATGAATTTACAACCTGTGGAACAGGAGAAGTTTATGTAAGTCATAGTAATAAAAACAAAAACTAAATAGACAGAGAGTAGAGAGGGAACAGGTCCTCCTGAGAGAATTCGAATTCACAAGTACATCAGGAATGGGAGAAAACAATAAATTATTATTTGGCAAAAGCCAGAGTAAAGATTGTAGTCAAGAATCATTCAGAAGTTAAGGGCTGGAGGCCAGAGGAGAGAGAGTCTCCTGCATGATGAGAAACTGCTGTGTGGTCCAAGCATGCTTCCCCCTAAGATTCATCACAGAGGGAAAGGAAAGTAATTAACAGTAGTGAGATCTGCCAGGCAGCCTAACCAAGCGGAAGTCTCTCCATCAGCAGTAAGGAAAACTGTGGGTCCTGATACAGTGCACTAAGGACACACCAATTTGTGCTGTAAAGAATGTAGAATGCAAACATAAGAGAAAGCAGACCAACCCAAATCAAGGGACACTCTACAAATTTACAGTCCAGAGTCAGGGTTGAAATGACAAAGAAAGACCGGAGTTAACCCCACTAAGAGACTAAGGAGACTCGATGTCCAATGAGGACCCTGGGGGGAGGGGACATTTGAGAGACAACTAAAAACATCTATAAACTCCTTCATGATAATATTCCATTGCAAGGCTCTGGTTTGGATGATTCTAGAATGGGTGTGAGTGTGTAAGATGGAAATATTAGGGGAAACTACAACTGCTCTAAATCAGTTCGTTATTTTCACCATTAATTGTGAATCAGTTTAAAAGAACAAACAGCAATTACTGTTATCCTGTTTCTAATTACTAATCAAATATAGTTGTAACTATTGGAGCTCTTTATTGCAAATTGCAACTATATTGGTTTTTGCTTTGCTTTTGTGCATATGTGTGACTATTTTATAGTCACTGATTTGATATTAATTCAGCCTCATGCAATATAACTTGACTTTTTAACCTGTGTAATGTTCTTAAATTGTTTTCTATGAAAAAGGAAGCATCTTCTTTTAGTTTAGTTTGTCGTTTTATTTTGATTTTTGAGGCAGGGTCTCAATCTGTAGCCCCAACTAGCCTGAAACTTTCTGTATCGTCCAAACTGCTCTTGAACCAGATACTCCTGCCTCAGTCTTCCAAGTTCTGGGATTATAGGCTTGAGCCACCATGCCAGGCTTCATCGACATCTCTGAGGACTCCCAGTAGCCTGAGGTTCCCAGATTTGTCCCTCATGTAATCAGAGTAAACCCAACTCTAACAACATTTCTTTCTTTCTCTTCATAAGGTCAGAGCACAGCTTGAAGAGAAAACCAACGAGAAATATGAAAAATTTGAAGCTGTTGAGTATAAAACTCAAGTCGTCGCTGGAGTCAACTATTTCATAAAGGTTAGACTCACTACCCAATGACTCCTAAGTTTCTTAATTTTACTTACAAAGAGGTGGGCAGGCCACCCACCCTGCTCCATTCTCAAATGCCTGGTTGGCATTCACCAAGTAGATTCCAATACAGCATAGGTACGGAGACGATACAGTCCACATTTTCTAAAGCAATTCTGTGTTGTTTCTGTTTTGTTTTGTTTTGGTTTTGGTTTTGGTTTTCTCCCTTATCAAACTATATGGCAATATCTCTCCCAATTTAGAAGTCAGAAAACAAAATCACCAAAATTATAGGCTGCCCTCTGTTTCTGTTTCGGGCATCATGCAAATCAAATGTAACTCTGGGATGTAATTTGTGCCCAGATTCTAATGAAAAGTACAATAAATAAATCCAGATGGAGATAAACAGGTGGCCAGAGCGTTGGTTGCTCTTGCAGAGGACCTGGGTTTGGATTCCAGCATACACATGAAAGCTCACAAATTCTCTAACTCCAGTTTGAGGGAAGATAACACCCTCTTCTGGCCTGTTCAGGCATTACACGCACACAGTGCACTTAAACAGAAGCAGGCAAATTATTCATACAAATAAAATAATAAAAAGTATTAAAAATAAATCTAGGAAATATACTTCCTGCCATATTGTTACCTGTTCTTTCTCCAAACATAAGGGTTGGTGGGCACTCAGGTCACAGATATTGCCTTGGGCCAGAAGTGCCGATTCAGATGGCTTACCACAAAAGGTAGATCTGTGTCAATAATCTCCCTCCCTTCCTCTCTCCCTCCCTCCCTTCCTTCCTTCCGTTTTAATGTCTTTCAGATGGATGTAGGAAACGGCAAGTATATTCACTTGAAAATCTTTAAAGGTCTTCCTGGACAAAATGAGGGTGTGGAACTTAGTGGTTACCAGACTAACAAAACCAAGGATGATGAACTGACCTACTTCTGAGCAGCAAACTCCAAGTGACCTGATTCCTCTCACTGTAAAGAGACGCAGCCATCAATAAAGAAACATTCTTCCAATAACTGTTTTCTTCCATTATTATTCATTTATTGTACTGACCTTTGCTTTCTTGACTATGTTTTAAAATATGAAATGCTTTGAGAATTTGCATGTCATGCTTGGGTAAGGGCCATGCTAATCTCTGTATATGTTCAAGTTCAGTATACGTGCTGCCGAAGAGAGCACAGTGTTACTGGTTTAGAGTGAAAATTCCACGATAAATGATGCCAAGTGGAAACCTTATAAAAAAGGCTCAGTTGCAACTGGATAAAGGATTAGTACTGCCTCATCCTCAGCACAGCTGGGTTAGTTAGGTTAGCAGCTGTCACCAAGGAAGCACACTCCCTGTTCCCTGTGGTTGCCCAGAACCCAGCACATCATCTCTGCTTCTGTATTTGAAAAGTAAAGTGGTATTTTACAAGACATGTTTTGAAACCTGCAACTGGAACTTGATTTGTAGACCAGGCTGGCCTCGAACTCAGAGATCCACCTGCAATCTGCCTCCTGAGTGCTGGGATTAAAGGCATGTGCTAACACCACTTGGCCTGGTATTTTAATTTCAACAGCTACAACGTTAAGATTATAGATATCTTTGGGTCATATGGCCATTTTAACATTAGTGCTTCCAACGCATGGACAAAACATTCTATTTTTCTCTGTGTATCTCCTTTGATTGTGTTTTAGAATTTCAGGCAGCCTTACCTCCCTGACCAAATTTACTCCTAAAGGCTTGGTGTGTTAGGCCCCCAAAAAACTCAGGTATCGGGGTCCCAGGCCACGACCGAGGTCACCCCAATCACCAGGCGGATTTGAGAGCTTGCTGCAAACTGCACGAGGCTTTATTGTTTTTTTTAACGAGCTAACCCCATGTTAGCTCGGGTCTTTCACCCACACGTCATAGCGGATGGCTAGCAAAGACAACTCCTAGGGGCTCCCGAGAGATCTTGTAGGACAGCGGAAGGGGAGGGGCTAGGGGGACACACAGGCTCAGGATTGTGCCTCCAGGCTTGGAGGGCTTGCCCTGTGTTCATTGGCCAACTGGTTGTTATGGCCCATAGGCCCTCCCAGGGTGGTTGCTATGCTCTGTACATCATTGCTGTGCGCTTGTCCGTAAAGTACACCCAGGGTCGTAAAGCATAGCACCACCAGCTAACTTCTGATTGTTTCCTTGTCCGGAGGCAGGTGTCTGACCTCTAAGTGACCAAGGCAAGGTTATGGCAAGCTCGTGTTACTGTCGTGGCTGCCGAAATGGGGAGCTGGTCCCTTCAGGTGCAGGTGAGAAGTTGTTACAGTGAGGTTTTTTTCTTTTAACTTATCTTTCAGATAGACTGTTATTAGTGTTGGGAAACACTACTGGTGAGTATTTTGTTATTGTTTTTATCCAGGGTCTCACTCTGCAGCAGGTGGATGACTTGGAATTCACTGTGTAGACAAGGCTAGTTTGGTGTAACTCCAGGTAAGGCCATCAGGGCTTGGGGGGTTTCCTTCAGGGCAGGTTTTTTATTCCTGATCTAATCTACAGGCTCTTCTTGAGTCACCTGTGAAGATTTCCTATTTCTTCATCATTCAGTGTTGATAAGTGGGGCTGGGGGCTGGGTGTAGGGGAATGTCTGGGAAATCCTCCTAGGTTCTATTGGGCCACACACAATTGTTCAGAATAACATTTTACAGTTCTCTGTATTTCTGTGGTAATGCTGTATTGTCTCTACTTTGATTTGTGAACTCGTTTCTGTTATTCTTTTGTTTAAAAAGAAGAAAAGAGAAATTGCTGAGACAGACATATTGACTATAAGTTTATTATAAGGCCCGGTAGAATGGGGAGACTAAGAGGAGGAACAGGGTAATGGCTGACCGCCATGGCCGGTCGCCATAGAGAGAGAGAACGGGAAACAGAGAAACAGGGGGAGAGAGAGACAGACAGACAGACAGACAGACAGAGAGAGTAAAGGGGCAGAGAGAGCGTAAAGGGGCCTATCTTTTAAAGGGGTCCTCTGCACCTGCGTGCAGACTTCTTTCCCATGGAACCTTGGGCTGACCAGGGTATTGCCTGAGTGGATTCCACCAGGTAACAGGGGCAGGCCAGCATAATGCCTGAACCTTTCAGTTTCCTGGAGTCCACAGTTTTTGTGCTCAGTTTAGACAAAGAGTGATCAACTCTTCGATCTTTTCAAACACTGACTTCATTTTGCTTGTTTCCCAGTTCCTATCTATTTCTGCCCTGGGTTCTATTCTCTCCCCTTCCTTCTGTTGACACTGGATTGACCCAGTTTGCTCCAGTCACAGCACCTAGAAGGTTTTTTGTTTGTTTCTTTTGTGACCTTTTGATTGTGAGCGCTTACTCTGACCATCATTACTCTTGGAGCAAATGCACTGCATCCTACAAGTTTTGGTGTTTTTTCCAGTTTCTGTTGCCTTCATTTTTAGGTTCTTTTAAAAGTTATTCCTAGACCCATTAGTTGGTCTGGCATATGTTGCCTAATTGTCCTGTGTTTGTGAGTTTCCCAAGTTCTTCCTGCTAGTGACTTCTACTTTTTACCAATGTTGCAATGTTAAAAAATAAAAGACATTGTGTGGCATCAGTCTCTTTGCTAGACTTGTCTTGTGCTCTGGCATAGGATGTGCAGGACAATGTTCTATGTATTCTGTTTAGGTCCATTTGGTCAAAGGTGTGAAGTCCCCAGTTCCTTTGTTGGTTTTGTCTGGATAATCCTCTTGACCACCTGATCCTTCATTTTGACTTTTGTCTGATACGAGTCTCAGCACCACTACTCAGTTTCCGTTTTTTGTGGAATACCTCCTTCTGCCTTTTCACCTCCAGTCTTTATGTGCCATTTCAAATCAAACAACCGCTACAATATACATTATAGTTGAATCTTGGTTTTTGATCCATTTATTCAGTCTTTTTATTGGAGAGTGTAATCCATTTACATTCAAAGTAATTACTAACAGTAATGACTGATAGTGAGTGCTCTTTTGCTGTTCTCTGATAGTTTTGTAGATATGTTGCATCTACGAAGAAGATGAAGGCAATGAGAACTGGGCAGTGCCTTTAGCACTATAAAAGACCCTGAGAAATCTCCATGTAAGCTTCTGTGTCTATTTCAGAACTTTGATTGCTTCCCAGGATACAAGGGAAGCTGGGCACCCAGTAGTCAGAGTCAGGGTTCTAGTGATAAAGAGGAAAGCATAGTGTAGTTTTGGGACCCTGCTTGTATCAGTCGGGTGCTACAGAGGCTATCTATTCCTGACTGATGTCCTTGGCGGCTGTGATCGGAGCCATCTGAACAGCCACCGGTCCATCCCTGAGTGGGGGTGCGTGGACCTGGAAACTCCTAGCTACCCAATGGCAATAAAGACCAGACACAGGCATCTTGTCATTTCGGGAGGGCTCTCAGTCCATGCTGGAAACTGGAGTCTCCGGTTTATTCTGGCATCCTCCTAAATAGCTTTCCAACAGTGGAAATGACCACAGAGAGCATCTACTATCAAGTAATTCTTTTAACCCTAGTGGCATACCTACATAGTCCCTAGGCATGCAAACAAAGCCCTCAGCACACTCAGGGCCTAGGCCTGTTCTAATGCAAACTAGGAGACATTCTCCACTGAGGCCATGCCATCCCGTGGCAATTTAGCCAGCATCTGCAAGACAATGGAGATTCAGGCTCCAGAAAAATGGAGCAGAGGTTTGCACCACAAGAAACTTTATAACTGATAATTTTTAGTCCCCGACAGTGTGGGACTAGCAGTATTCTGAGTAGTGGGAAAGAGGGTGGGTCTCACAAACTGAAGAGGAAAGGCCGCAAGAGCCTGGCAAAGACTCCGACGGATGTGCTATTGTGGGGATACACAAAAGGGACACCTAACCTGAGAGCTGAAGGGAGTGACAGTTGAGACAAGAGCCACAGATAAGAGTTGGCCAGGGGAGAGAGAAAGCAAGCTCAGAAATGTGAAGGTGACACTGGGTCTTAGCTAGAAGCAGAGGTAGCCAGTACTGGTGGGGGGGAACAGAGCACTGCAGGGGTGGGGGGGGCACATTCAAAGACCACCTTAAGGAATTTGCAGTTATCTCTAAGGTAGTAAAAAAGTCATTGAGGGGCTTTTCGTGGGACAGCTTTTGCCTGCTGGAGTGTAAAACTGAAGCAGAAATAATTTATTCGGGAGCAATTATTTCTAAGTGCCAGTGGACTAGCTATCCTGATCTCTACAGTGAACCATGACGTAGTCACCCAGGCCTGGCCTCAGCTGACCATTGCCTCTAGGAACTGGCTGCTTAACCCCTTCAACATTACAAAATGTTGAAGGAAAAATTAGAGGGGAATTTAGGGCTGGAGAGATGGCTCAGAGGTTATGAAGGATCAAAAATTGGTGAAGGTTGGAAAGACTTGGGCTCTGAAGGGAAGAGAGATGGGGAGCTTCTGGTGGCTGGGAATGCCATGGCTGGGGGCTGAGGGCTCCCAAGCCCTGCTCCCAGAGAGGCGGAGGTGACTATCCATCACTCCTGTTAGCATTCCTTTGCTAATTGCTGGTTGTAAAGGTGCCCTGCTGGTTGTAAAGATTCCCCAGCCTGGGGGATAACTGACAGACTCTGTGACTCTGTAAGACCCTGTCTTAACTCAGTCAAATGTATCTCCCTTAAAATGTATAGTTACTGACTAACTCTGTACTTTGTGTGACTTTAAGTAACCATGGAAACTCTGTAATTTGTGTCCTTCAACTGAAAGACCCCAGCCTAAGATGTTTTCTTTGCAGATTAAGAATCTAAACTTATGACCTTAACAGGAAAAGGCTGTTAGGGTCTAACTCCTCTGCTCCTGCGTGAGTTGGGTCCTGGAGCTGGTTACTGAATAATATAGCCTCTTGCTGTTTGAATCAAGTTCTCGTCTCTGCCTGGTGACTGGGGGGTTGCTGCTCCTGAGTGTTCACCCCAGGGTCCCACCCCGTGGGGGTCTTTCAGTTAAGAACATTGTCTGTTCTTTCAGAGGTCCTGAGTTCAATTCCCAGCAATCACATGGTGGCTCACAACCATCTGTAATAAGAGCTGGCTCCCTCTTCTGGCCTGCAGGCATACATGGAGGCAGAATGTTATAAGCATAATAGATAAAAAATAAATCTTTTTTTTTAAAGAGGAACATAACAGTAAACTGCTATAACACTGAAGCTGATAAAAAAAAAAAAACAGATAAGATGGTAAGAACAATAAACTGGAGAATATAAAAATGATAAATTCTAAAACCATAGTGATTAAAAGCCTCAGGGGCTAGAAAGATGGTCAGCTGAAAGTGCTCGATGTACAAGAAGAAAACCTGTTTGATCCCCAACTAGGGGTGTTCAGGCAGGACCCTGGGGCTCGCTGGCAGCCGCCCTAACTGAATCAATACGTCCCAGGTTCAGTGAGGGACTGTCTCAAAACACTAAGGTGGAGGGAAAGAGAGTAAAGAAGACACTAGACATCCACCTCTGGTCTCCACACATCCAGATAATGAACATATACAAACACACACAAAACAAAACCTTGAATGTTATCTTTGAAGCACCATAGTACTTATTCCTGAAAAGCAAGCATGAGCTGCTCATGGTAATGTACACTTGTAACCCAGTACTCAGGGATCCAAGGAAGAGGATCATTGCAAGTCTGAGGCCAGCCTGGGCTAGTGAGACTGACTCACAGGAGCATGGCCAGGCATGGTGGAGCATGCCTTTGATCCCAGCACTCAGGAGGCAGAGGTTAGCAATCTTGATGAGTGTCTACATAGTGAGTTACAGGTCAGCAGAATGGAGTTAATAGTGAGACCCTATCACACACACACACACACACACACACACACACACACACACACACACACACTGAGTGCCACTCATTAAACTCCCAAGAGGATAAAAGCCCAAACCATAAGTTGTGTCACATCTTTACACAAAGGATTTATTATCTAAGTTGCCATTTTTACTATTTCTCTCTCTTCTCTTTTCCCCACAGAGATAAAAGTAGACCTTGCTGGAAATGACCATTTTCCATTTTCCTTGTCTCCCCCCCCCCCCACACACACACCATTTATGCTTGGAACAAATTTTTTTTAAAAGGTCACTGAAATTTAGAGTATTCTGCAAGGCTAAGTAAGTATATATACAGAGATCATAAGTAATCTATATGATTCTAATGTTTGATTAGATCCCTGAACCCTAGGTAGGATGTCCACTTTATAATTTAAAACAGGAGTACTTTGGATGAATCTCCTGTTTACATGTTATTCCTGAATTTATGGGACATTAGCTGACTACTGTACTAACACTAGCACAAACAAATTCCTTTCCCAAATGATTGGCTCTGAAACACAACTTATATTAGAGAATAACAGACTGTCCTTCATTACAGTGTTTCAGTATCTAAGTTAGCTGTTCAAAGGCAAGGACATTATGTTCTCCCACCAGCCCGGTCACTTGCGATCCACACTTCACTTGTTTCCCTGACTTCCTGCTCTTTATTTTTTGCACAGAACTTGACTGTGCTTCGCCATTATCTGTAACTTAATTCCTTGTTATTGTATATCTCCCTTCAACAAACAGGAGCTTTTCAAGAGCAAGCAAGCATTTTGCTTTGTCACAATACTGGCTAGTCATGCTTAGATTTCCTAAGACCTTAAAGATTTGAAGAATTTGCAAGTTTCATCACAGGCGCATCTTCACAGGCACTTGTCTTCTGGCAAGTAAAAGTCAAATCCATACCTAAAAGTGGCACAGTTCTCTATTCTCCCAAGTAAAAGAAACAAATTGTTGTGAGGCAGTGACGGCACACACGCGTTTCAGCCAGTAAATCTACTTTCCAAAGTGATAAAGGAATTTCACCTTCCAACCTGAGGCTTTAAATGCTATTGACACAGGCTCAGTATATCCATTTACTTGTTCACTCCAAACTGAGGTAAACACTCAGTTAATGTCACAGCTGATTAATTCAGGCACCCTAACATAATTAGATCAGGTAGCAAGCACTCTGGTGACAGATCTGAAGTCTGCAAAGATATTATGATCTTAGCAGAGAATCTGAATTTCCTGGAGGATTGCTATCAAGATCCTTGTTGCACTTTCATTTACATCCAGCCTTTTATCTTACTCATTTAAAAAGTATTACAAGCTGGGCAGTGGTGGCGCATGCCTTTAGATCTAGCACTCAGGAGGCAGAGGCAGGTGGATCTCTGTGAGTTTGAAGTTAGCCTGGTTTACAGAGCTCCAGCACAGGCAGGGCTACATAGAGTAACCCTGTCTCGAAAACCAAAATTATTACAGATCAGCTTTATAGAAAACACTTTTCAATACTGAGCTTTTTCAGTATTGTCTTTTTAGATAATTTTTTTCTCATCAAAAATCTATGTGCTAATTGTAGCTAAACACACATACACACACAGAGAGAGGAGAGAGAGAAAGAGAGAGAGAGAGAGAGAGAGAGAGAGAGAGACAAGGTCTATCTAGCTCTGGAACTCACTACGTAGACCAGGCTGATCTTGAACTCAAGAGATCTGCCTGCTTCTGCTTCCTGAGCACTGGGATTAAAGGTGTGCATCACCACATGTGTTCTCTCTCTCTCTCTCTCTCTCTCTCTCTCTCTCTCTCTCTCACACTCTCATACTGGTGATCAAATCCAGAGCCTTGTACTACTAGGTAAGCACTCGCCTTCTGAGTGACACTCCCAGTCCTAAAGGAATATATCAGTATCCCCAACAAATACCCACAGTAAATGTTCCAACTTTCAGTCAACACTTATGCCTCCATGGCCAACTTCCAGGAACAGAATCTGATGAAGATCAAGACGCTGCAGGTCAGGCCTACCAGAAGCCTGGGCCATGTGGTTTTAATCCAAGTCACACTGTAAACAGAACCCAAACTGGCATCACCTACACTCTGCCCTAATCCCATCTGTGACTATTCCATTACCTGGCAAAGGTGATGTGCTGTTTAACCAAGTGACCGAGTTACAGAGCAGCAGCCCCGTGGTAGAGCTAAGTACAAACCGTTTGAATGCAGCTTGTGTGGCTCACAGCAGTGAAGGAAGGCAGAGACACTACACCAGTGTGAAGATGTAACACACCACTACTAGTGTGAAGCCAGAAGGGGCCTTGTGTCGAGAATTGCAGTGGCCACCGGGAGTAGAATGATACCACACAGCCAGCAAGTATACAGGGAAAAAAAGGTTCGCTGTTACAACTCGCTTGTCTAAATCCTGCCAAGCTCAATGAATTCAGAAGCAGTGGTCTAGGGACTCGAACAAGAGCCAGTCTCAGCTGGATTTCAGATTTCACACCCTGAGCCAAGAACCCTGTCCAGTCCAACCTGCCTGGACTTTGGAACCATAGGACTGACTGTGGCACAGCAAATATTATGACAATAAACAGCTAACCAGTGATGATCTGTTCTGTGGCCCCAGAAAGCTAATACCCCACACTACCAAGTATTTTCTTTCACTGGTGGAGGGCCTCTTACTCATAACAGGGATCTTGTGTTATAGTCATTCACCCTTTTTCCTTTTGTAAAATGTATGCTTCCCTTTTGTATCCATGGAAAAATGTCTAGAAAACAATTCCAATTCAAGTTAGTTTTGTATGTAAAAACTATATAAATGTTCTTTCGTCTTTTGAGACAGGGTTTCTCTATGTAGCCCTGGTTGTTTTGGAACTTGCTCTGTAGGCTAGGCTGGCCTGGATCTCAAGAGATCCACCTGCCTCTGCCTCCCAAGTGCTGGGATTAAAGGAGTGTAGCACCACAGTCAGACTCAAGACAATGTCTTTGTTTTGTGAGACAGGTTCTCACTATTTAGCTAGGCTGGCCTCAACCTTGTAATACTCCCATCTCAGCCTCCCAAGGGTTAGGACTACAGGCACATGTCACCATGCCCAGCTTTTAGAAAAAAATTCAGTTTGCATTGTATAGGATCCAGTCTGATTTTGCCATTTTATTTTTTATAAGCTTGGGAATTTTGCCTGTATGTATGTCTGTGCATCAATTGTGCCTGGTGCTAACAAAGGCCAGAAGAGGGCATCATATCCTGTGGGACCAGAGTTATAAACAGTTGTGAGTACCATGTGGGTACTGGGATTGAACTGCTCTTAACCACTAATCATCTTTCCAGCCCAATTCTACCCCTTTAAAATAAACCCACAATGGCAAATAAAAGAGAAACTCATCTATGACCAAAAAAGTCCACATCCATACCAATAAATCTGTAAAACTCTAGCAGGTATAATGACACAGAGAACTTACTGTCTCAACTTGCAAAGCCAAATAAGTATGTACACGGAGTCAGAAAATTATTTTAATAGTTACAAAACATTTTTTTACAGAATCGGTATAAAATAGCAATTGATTATTTTATAATTGTTAGAATTAGACTTGAGGCCTTGGACTGCTGGCTGGGAGACCATCCTTGGGAGCCTGCCCTGTTGACATCTGTCATGCTTAGTTGATGAGATGACCAGGTCTATAAAATATTCTCTCTACTCATTCTTTGGAGGCTTGAAATGAATTCGGCAGCGTTCATTAAACACCTAAGATGTTCAAAAAGAAACAGAAGTCATCCAGTCATCCTGTATACACCAGGATGTAAATCAGATCAACAGGTTAGGAAGATGCTAGCCTCTGATCTAGGTGAACAGGCTCAGGAAACAGTATGTTTCTTCAGCACACCAAATTAAGCATGGCGTATACCTTGGTAACATTCACTACAGTCTCAACGCCCATTTGCTGGTTAGACCTGTATTCCAATAAATTATGTGAATTTATGTATTTCTTGTTTTGTTCACTTTGCTTCCTAAAATTTCAAACAATGTATCATAAATGTTAAGAGAATGCCCTATGACTAAATGGGGCTAAGCCACATAAAAATCTTGGTAAGGCCACTCATAGGAGTAAAAGGTTTAAAAAGAGTAAGAGAACTACTAACATTCTTATGTGGAAAGATTTCAGATGTATGTTACGAAAAGTACACAGCATACTTCTGTTGTCAACAAAGACAATATAAGAGAAGATTTATAAGCACCTGTAAGTATGCCCCTCTCCATGTGGAAGACCTCAAAGCACAAGGAGGTGTTCACTGCACACCCTTTTATCTTTATTTATTTGTGGGTTTTTTGTTTTGTTTTCCCAGTTTCTTTGTGTAGCCCTGGCTGCCCTGGAACTTGCTCTGTAGACCAGGATGGCCTCAAACTCAAGAGAGATCCACCTGCCTCTGCCTCTCGAGTGCTGGGATTAGAAGGTGTGAGCCACCACCCTGCCACTGTAGACCCTTTTATAGCTGTGTTTTGTTTTGAATTTGGTTTTTGAAACAAGGTCTTGCTTTGTAGTTCATATTGGTCTTGAACTTACTATGTATCTTGGCCTGGTCTTAAACTCACAATCCTGCTTCTGCCTCCCCAAGTGCTGGAGTTACAGGACATCATGACCAGTAAATTTTGATTTTTCTGTGGGCTAATGATACACAGAAGACTATTCTCTCTCAATGCTTAAGTGTAGTCCACTGTTAAATGTCTTAAGAACACTTAGGTTTACTGGGAATGCAATCCCATCATATTGAGGAGCACCTGAGATACCACATCCAAAATTGTTTCACTCCTTCTACCATCTACTACACTTTAAATGTACCAAAACCCTCTGGACTGGCTCTTTAAAGCCAGATGTTCACCGTACCCCACTCCCATCACAGTCCCAGAATAACTTAGGACTTTTTCTGAGAATGAATGCAGAGACATTGCCAAAATCTTTCAAGCAGCACAGTCCTTATGCTGATGCAAGGCAAGTACAGACTACATTTTGGCAAGGAAGATAGGATAAAGAGATGCCATAAAGCAGCAGATTTATAGTCTGTGATTAATTCATGCCTCCACATGCTATGAGTCTTCTTTTTAAAGATGGGTGTAACTACTTAATGACACAGGAAATACACTGGCTACAAGGGAGGTAGAAGATGACTTCTTCACTTATGACTTAAAAAACAGGTAAGAAGTCTAGGCATGCATTAAAAAGCTGGAAGGAATGATTCATTTCTCTTGGTGTGGTGTGGTGTGTGTGTGTGTGTGTGCAAATTTTGAAACAAAGTTGTTTCTGCAAAAAAAGCTCCTGGAGAGATAAACAGTGCCCAGCAGCTGAGCTAAGCCCAGAGAGATCCAGCCAGAGTGTGGTGAAGCTCACCTCAGCTGCTCTTTCCTTCTTTGGAACTTACTTATTCAAGTGTTTCCTCTCCACTTAATATTCCCTGTGCAATTGCATTTAATGAGTTCTGAGTTAACTACAGTAAAACACTGAATGTAAATATGCCCATAATTAGTGTTAGGAGATCCACAGAATGTGGCCAATCCTGTTCTCTAAGGGGTCACAGGATCCCGTCTACCTATAAAGCCTCTTCCTTCCACACAGAAGTTACCAGCACCCACCACCCTCAGTTTGCTGGGGTTCTCTGCTCTCAGAGCCTGCCTGCACTTTCTGGCCCTCCCCTGCTTGTCCCTTGCTTGTTCAGTTCTCTACAGGAACCAGCATTATTTCCTACCTTCCAGCTCCTGTCATTTACCACTTCTTCAACATTTAGTTCTGACTGCATCCATTTCAACTGCAAGACAGAAAAAAAAAAAAGAAAGAAATTCTAAGTAGAGTTAAAACTATAACCCAGTGCTGTGGAATGGGGACGGTGTGGAGACAAGCAGAATCTGGGGACATGCTGGCCAGCTGATCTAAAACTGCAAGCTCCCAGTTTAGTGAGAGACCCTGCCTCAAAAAAATAAGGTGGAGAACTAAGGAATACATCCCAACATTAACCTCTGACTCATACACACCAGCACAGGTGACCATATCCACATGCACTCACACACATCACATACTATATGAAGATAAAATTTAAAAAGCACATGTAGTATACATTATATTAGCAAATTGCCCTTTTTGTTTGAGCTCTCTGAGATACTGGCCCTGGAAGCACTGCCCCTCCAAAATTCAGACGCAAGTATATCTGTATCTCAAGACCGATCTGGTGAGGTTATCTCCACCTGTTACAATCTGTTATTCCACTTGGAAGCATCACCAAGGGGACACGCTGCTCTGCCTGTGACTCCTAATGGGAACTCCAGATGACTGCCTCAAAGGGCCTCCCCAGCTGATTCCTCTAGATACTCAGAGCCCCCAATCTGACAGTGTTACATTCAGGATGATGGAGAAGTGAGGACATATCCATAGAAACCTGGTCTCCCAGGTGTCCACTGCTAGATCAGGGGCAAGAAACATCTTCTGTACCTAAAACTTCGATTACAAGGTTAGCATGTGTGCAAGCTTCTCAGCTCTGTTCTGCCCTCTCGTCTACAGAGTGTTGACTGCTGAAGGTCACAGACATCTCTGGAGGTGTTTTGGGGATGTAAAAACTTCTAATTCTCAAGTTTTATGTGATCCCCCACCCCTTGAGGGAGGTGGTATAACATCCAAGAAGCTGAGAAGTTTGCCTAAGACTAGCAACAGAAAGAAAAACAGAAGTTTGATACCAAGAGAGTACAGATGATCTTAATTTGCTACATTGTATCAAATTGTATCATTGTATCAAATAAGAAAAATTATTTATATATATATATATATTTGGATTCAGCTCTTATTTAAAGAACAGTAAGTAGGAGAGAAAAATGTTGAGGAAGTAGTAAATATGAGGTAACTTTTGGTAAGAAAAGTTAAGAACTTTTTAAAATTCTATTACTATAGAAACTCCGTGAAACTACTTCCATGTTGGAACATGGGATAATCTAGCTCTGAGTTTACCAGGCCATGGTTACTCATATATAGCTCCAGAATAAACTAGCTCATATTTGAAAACAGGCATGGGGTGAGGATGAGAATGTTTTAGATAAAAAGGACTTTATACAGTAAAAAAATTAAGTGACTGGAATTTTCCTAAATGAAAATATAAAAACAGAGCAGGAACCCTAACATATAAAAGGCTTGTGGAGGATGAGCCTTAAAGATGGTTGGTATGTTTGATAATTAGTTGTTAAAATTCCTAACCCCTCACTAGCTCCTGATTTTAGAGATGCCAGTTAATGTCCCTGCACCCTCAGTGAATGAGGAAGAGCTGGAACATTGAAGGACTCTCTCTTTCAGAGTCCACACCACCCCAGGAAGATAAAACAGTGGCCATTCCCTCACCCACTACAGCACTACTCACAGTGGCCCTTGCTGGCTGGAAAGCAAACCTTACATTTATTCATTGATTGCTTCCAATGCCCCTCCCTGCAGTCCTTGTGGCCACGCCTTCCAGGCACTAAGGGCAAAGGGGCAGCTGTGAGAGCTCAGCAAACACAGTCACTCCTGAACACTAGGGCTTGGCTGAACTTTGTACTTCAACTAGCAAGGGCAGCTCTACTCTGACTTTTTAGTCTGTGACTTAGCAGTTCTGCTCACATCCCCCGTCAACATCTTTAACGGAATCCAGGATGTAAGGGTAGTATGGCTGCTGCATGTTCACACCATAGCTGGGCCATCTGGATGCTCAGCCTGTGTCCCTTTCCTCCTTCACTAGTAAGTTATGCTGATGGATTAGTTGGAAAGGGTGGCCTTCCTGATAGTGGAGGACAGGTTTGCAGTTACTTTCTCAAGAAACAGAAAGCGCACAGGAGGCAGAGGCAGGCAGATCTCTGAGAGTTTGAGACCAACCTGGTCTACAGAGAGAGTTCCAGGCCAGGCTCCAAAGCTACAAACCCTGTCTCACACACACCCCCACCCCACCCCCCAAAAAAGAAAGAAATAGAACGCTCTAAGGTACTTAGATCCTGACCAAATAATCCTGAATATCAGGGCTGGAGAGATGGCTCAGCGGATAAGAGCACTGGCTATTCTTCCAGAGGACCTGGGTTCAATTCCCATCACCTACATAGCAGCTCACAGCTTTAACTCCAGTTCCAGGGGATCCAACAGCCTCACATAGACATACATGCAGGCAGAACACAATGCATAGAAAATAAAAATAATTGTTAAAAAATCCTGAATATCAAGGGGTGGGACAAGGACTATTCTAACAAGTTCACCATCTGAATTAGCAGAATAACTGAGAAAGCATAGCAGCCTGGCCTACTCAATATGTGCCCCTGTGCATCTGGCTATATCTGCTAAACAAACACCAATCAAATTCTACAACTACTTAAAATGAACAAAAACACAAACAAAGCGTTCCATGTTGCCTTTTCAGTCACCAGATACACAAGAACTAGAAGTTGCCCACTGTGCTATCTTAAGTAGACAACTGTATTGATATTTGTACAGTGGTCATGTAAGAAAAGTCCTTGTGATTAAGAAATAGCGAGGGCTGGAGAGATGGCTCAGCGGTTAAGAGCATTGTCTGCTCTTCCACAGGATCCAGGTGACTTGGCAGTCCACAACTGCCTATAACCCGGAGGTCTGACACATCACACAAACATACCTGCAGGCAAAGCACCAATGCACACAAAAGAAATAAACAACATATAAAAAATAAAAAGAAATAGCAATTGGGGCCTGTGAGAAGGCCAAATGGGTAAAGGTGCTTGCTGCCAAGTCTGATGACCTGAGTTTAATCCCAGGTACTCTTGTGCTGAAAGGAAAGAACTAACTTCTCCAAGTGGTCCTCTGACCTATACACACACACAAGTAAATGTAATTGAAAAATAATAATAAAAGGGTACAACACACCTAGCAAGCACTGGAACCCCTCTGAAGAAGAGTATGCACATGTACACAGGTTTGGGGGGGGTGGTAGAGGAGGAGGAGGAAGGGAAGGTGAGGAGACTAAGCAGGTAAATAGCAGGGGCATGTCACGTGGTGAACACTCTGCATGGGTGCTCCTTACATTGCTTCACAACTTTTCTCTGAAGTTTAGAGTTACATACAATTACAATGATACCTAAAAGTTCCCTTTAAAAAAGGATGGCAATGCAATCCATGTAATAAACTATTGTATAGGATTTCAAGCAACTGGGGATCAAAAATACTTGGGGAAGAACTGCACATGAACCAAACACGAACACTTTGTATTAGTTGCTATCAGCAATCTGTGAGTGACTTAAAATGTAAGGGAGGGTAAAGAAAGGAAGTTAAATGCAAACACTATGCCACTTTACATAACGGGACTCTGTGGACTTTGATAGGCAGAGGATGGGGCCTGGAACTGACCCTGAGAACGCCAAAGCAGACCTGTTTTCTTGATAAACCACAAACCATGCTACAGAGCAATGTTTCTGCCCTATTAACTGTATTACACGGGGAAAAAAAAGCTTCCTTTCACATATCCCCAAGTGAGCACTTGACTTGTGTGTCCATCTGTCTGTCTGTCCACAGTGAACAGGTCTGGAGGTTAGAGGACAACTTAAAGGAATTAGTTCTCTCTCATCTTCCACCAAGTGGGTTCCAGAGATCAAATTCAACTCTCAGGTTTAGCAGCAGGCATCCTTGTCTGGCACTTAGCTGGACCATCATATTTTCTTAAGTAAAAACACAGCAGGGATGCTGTTACATGGAGAAAAGGTAATCTAAAGAGAGCCAAAACCCTTGATGTTTACAGAGTTCGGTGGGCATTACACTGAGGTGTTGACTATATTCAACTAGCTCTGATTTTATGGCTCAAGAGGGCAACAGCTAGAACTTAAGGAATCTGTATTCTATTTCAGCAGATTCTTACAAAATGAAAGAGGTAAGATTTTCAAATTCAAATTCATGAAGAAATGTTTCAAGCAAGCAGGCACAAATGGTTTCCACAGAGCTTCTGATATGGGTTGGTTAGTATTGGTGTTTTTTGGGTTTTTTTAAGATTTTATTTATTTATTATGTATACAACATTCTGCTTCCATGTATATCTGAACACCAGAAGAGTGCTCCAGATCTCATTAACAGATGGTTGTGAGCCACCATGTGGTTGCTGGGAATTGAACTCAGGACCTCTGGAAGAGCAGCCAGTGCTCTTAACCTCTGAGCCATCTCTCCAGCCCATCAGTATTGGTGTTTAAGAAATAGAAATAGAAAGAAAATACAATTCCATGTTAATTTCCCCCGAGCTGCTATACTGCATCTTTATACTGTTTATAAAGTATGCATCATTTACTCTACTACATCTAAGTGTGATGTAAAGCCAGCCTGATGACAAGCCATTACTCTTCTAGCCATCTCTCCCGTGCATGTGTTCACGTGTCTCTGTGTGTGTTGGGGTAGGGGGATGAGTGTGCACATGCAAGTGGAGGTCTGAAGTTTGTCATGCGTCTTTCCTAGACAACACTGAGGCAGGATCTCTGGGCTGAGCCTGGTTCTAGCCAATTCTGGCTAGTCTATCTAGCCAGCTTGCCCAGGGATCTCCTGTCTGCCTCTGGAGGGCTGTGATTACAGGTGGCTGATACACCACCCAGATTTTTTTGTTGTTGATGGTGGTTTAATTTATTTGATATATATGGGTATTTTGCCTGCATGTTTGTATATTACATACATGCCTGGTGCCTGCAGACACCAGCAAGGGAGATCAGATCTTCTAGAACTGGACAGTCATGAGCCTGTGTGGGTGTTAGGAATCAAACCTGGGTCCTCTGGAAGAGCAGTCAGTGTTCTTAACCACTAAGCCACCTCTCCAGGCCCACACCACTCAACTTTTTACAAGGCTTCTCAAGATCCAAACTCCAGCTCTCATATTTGCAAAGCAAATAATTTATTCATGGATCCACCCTTCCAACCCTGTCCTGGTCATTTTTTAAAGTAATAACCATAACTTACTTGAAATTTTGCATATTAAAACCCTATTTTGAAGGCTATGTTTGGGAAACCTTTGCCCCAGATACATAAAGTCTGCTCAACTTACCTTTGTCTGTTCTTTTCTAAGTTGCTTTAATAATGTTAAGTCATCCAGGTTCTTTTCTCTCTCTTCTCGGAGACTTTTTACTACTGCTGAGGTTTGGGCTATACAGTTCTTTATAACTTTGTCCCTACTGGCGTGAGCTGCCATCAACTAAAATACAAAGGAATGAAAAGAAGGAAAGAAAAATCACATTAACTTGTTACATTTTAGTTTTAGAAAAAAAATTGAGAGCAAAAATTTAATAGTTTAATTTTTTTAATTGAATCTCTAGAAGAGAACATGTTGGATTGGCTAAATCACCTAAAAGCAAATTAAGAGGGAAAGTCTTGGAAGGCACAGAGGATGAAGGCAGGCTGTCTCCTTCCACAACGCAGGCCAGCACTCCTGCTCCTGTTTCCTGAGTGCCCAGCTGGGCTTCCCTCCAGTCTCCTGAGCCTGTCCTGTGCTCTTCACCATTCCCTCCACTCCTGCACCCTATATCCACCCTTCCGGCCACTTGCTGCTAGTCTCTCTCCTTTGTCTTTTTTGGTTGTTTTCAGTCTTGTGTTGTTAACAAGGAGAAGATGCTATGCAGTAAGTGATGTGGAGAAAGAATGCTATTTAGCTATGCCATCAGAGGGCTTTTCAAAAATTTAAAGTACTGATAAAGAAAACCTGAGGCAAAGATTAGTGGTTGCACCAGTTTTGTATGTTGATTGCAAGGATAGCTGACAGGAGGATTTTAGTAACCCTTTCTTAAGAGTGATGCATCCAATAAACAGCTTTTCATCCAATAAACATCTGTCTTGGGTGGCAAGGTATAACGGTCATGGTTCAAGGTCCTCTTACACTCACACCTCCTGAGAGCTCTGTGGAATTATCTAGTTTTTACTATGAGGAGCCTTTCAAGTTTAGACTTTGTAAATTCATGCTTTATACTAGCTCCTATATCCTCTCCTATAAAGAAGGGTTCCCTTAGGGAACTTGAATGTCTTCTTCAGCCACAAAAGCTGGACCAGGAACTAATGTAAGTCAGGGAGACTGAACAGCACTTGAATGTTCCAGACTCCTCAAGAGACAACACTCAGCAAGAGCTCTTAGTGCTTCTTATTGGCTGGGCACTCTGCAGGCCCCAATCTCCAGAGCAAAGTTATTAAAATACAATACTGACCAATAATAATGACTCTGGCATGCATATTAAAGTACACAGACCAGTGCTTTCTTGGTTTACTAACCCTCTACAACCCCCTGAGACTGAGGTGAAGGGAAGTTACTTAAAATGCTCAGTCACCACCCTTGGAAGCAGCAGATGTGAGATTTGATCTAGTCCTGGAATCCTTGTTGCTAAGCATGATACCACCAATCCATATGCTAACAGAAGACTGTAAATGGGAAGAACTGAATAGTAGAGATCATATGGGTAGCAGGAAGGAGGAGAGCACCACATTTCTAGTTCTTTAGTCAGATACCAAGACATAAGTGAACTATCAAACAGCTCAGGGTACATTAAGACTTGGGCCCAGCCCCCCTTGCAATGACTAAACACCACACCATCTAATTTTCTAAAACCAGAGTATTTATCTAATTTCTCAATAGAATGACATAATTAAAACAAAAACAGAACCTAGATGCTAGGAGGTAGTGTTCTAAATTTAATTGATGTGAATAAGTTTGTTCACAAAATGACTTTTATCCTCTCTTGAAAACTGCACTTTAGATTTAAATAATGACTTTTCTCTAACTAGAAATACACACAGTAAACTTGTGGTGGGAAAACATAAAAAAAGCATGTGCTGGGGCTGAAGAGATGGCTCAGAGGTTAAGAGCACTGGCAGCTCTTCCAGAGGTTCCGAGTTCAATTCCCAGCAACTACATGGTGGCTCACAACCATCTTCAATGACATCTGGCTCCCTCCTCTGGCCTGAGGGCATACAAGCAGACAGAACACTGTATACATAATAAATAAATAAGTAAATCTAAAAAAAAAGAAAAAAGAAAAAAAGCATGTGCCATTTGAACTTTAACTTCCAACTTAATGGAGGGCACCAGCCAGCTATAGTACAGCTGCACCATCATTCCTTCTGCTTTTGCCAATTCAAGAGGACTCAAGCAGGTAATGAGCAACTCTACACTGGAGATGTCAAAGCATTAGGAAGGGTGACTTATTAGTATCTGTGGCTTTCTCTTCCCTTTCTACCACACACTTCTATTCCCTTTCCTGATAATGGAAGAAAAGATGACAAAAAGTGTGAAGGGTTTTCACTTTTCATGCCGTTAGCTGCCTGGCCTCTTGGTATTAATTCATTCATGGTCCTCTCGATCACTCCTGTCTTGACTGTTTCAAGATCCTTGTGGTCATACCATGCATACTGTTCATTTAGCAAAAGGCAATGCATGCATAGGCCAAAACAACTCTGCTCCCATTCTTTACAGCCATTTGTGCACATATCTAAGGTTGTAAAAACTATATGAAAACTAGTGTACTCCTACCTTCAAGTGTACAAAAGGAAACACAAAGATGGCATGTGCTTTTCACAGTTAGATACAAGTCAATTTATTTCTTATTTTGTCTGCAAAGAAAGATATAAAAGAAAAACAAAACAAAAAAAAGGACTCGAAAGATAAACTTACAGACTCATAAAGTTGTTTACAGGTTTGGCTGGCATCAATCTTCCCTGCAAAGGAAGCGGTTGGAACCGTAGTGTTTAATTCATGTACTATTCTGTCATCAATTGTCCTCATCACCTTGAGTAATTCCTATATATATTTAAAATAAAAGAATAAAAGAATATAGTCTCAGTGAAGTGTTAAGTAATGAAAATTAAATATTTAAGCAGAAAGGGAAAAAAAAGTCTTAGATATTTTATAACCCTTGTATGTAAGAGGAAAACAAGTCAAACAGAGTACAACCAAAATATTTGTATCACCAGGATAATCGGTAGGATATGCAATAGTGATTCTAACAGAGGCCTCTGAGTCTAGCTCCACAGCTCGACAGTGAAATCCCACCATCTGGAATGGCATAGCAAACCGTGTCTTCCAACTCCAACATACAGCCAGTATAGGCAATCAATGAGCCGGGTTTTTGTTTGTTGTTGTGTTTTTTTGTTTTTGGTTTTTTTGAGACAGGGTTTCTCTGCCTTAGCTCTGGCTGTCCTGGAACTCACTTTAGACCAGGCTGGCCTTGAACTCACAGAGATCTCTTGCTTCTGCCTCCCAAGTGCACCACCACCACTCGGCTCCAATATCTAGCCAAAGAGGGTTCTCCAACCTAGATACCACATGCTCTCCACAACCAGTTGTGGCACTGCTGCTCCTCTGCATGGGCAGAACCAGTCAGCTCACAGACATGAAGCAGCACACCGCCAACCTCACCTCACAGCTCTTTGACTTTCTAAACTGTGACTGTAAATACTTTTGTGATAAGAGAACAAATTTGCTACTAGAGAAAGAAATATACTTTAATTCATTGAACAAGCAGGAATTTGTTTTAGCTTTTCTTTAGTGACCCTGGTTCACATTTCTCAAGGCTCTACTTTCTTCAAATGGTCTCCAGCTCACAAAAACCCAATCCAAAGAAAAATAATAGCACAAGTTACTTATGATTGCTGAGTGGTGGGGATTGCTGATTGCTCAGTTGCAGAACCCTTGCCTACCTCCTATGAGGCCCTGAGTTTCATTCCCAGGAACCTACTATGTCCCAAAAGAGAAAAAGAGAAAGAACGCTGGGCACACTGCATAGCACAGACTCGCCCCACGAGTGAGGCAGAACTTCTCATGCCTTGCTAGAGAACTACACTGTAACAAGTGCCTGGAGTGAGTGGGGTCTGAGGGAGCCTGGAGGCTGATGGCCTCTGCTATGCTACCATGTCCCTTCTGCCAGAGGCAAGGGAAATGACTCCTTTTGGCAGATGAGAGCCAGTTAGTTTCACAAGTTCCTGAGGAATGTTGTCTTTTTAACTTGGAGAAATCCTTCTGTTGTCCAGCTCGAGCTCATTTCTAGATATATGGACATCCTGAGGCTTGACAGATGGTAACACTTGTTACACATTTCCAAGTCCACACTAGCCTCCCGGCCCTTCCTTCCTCCCAGCTTGCATCCTCCTCTCCCCTCTGCCCCCATTCCCTAGCTCTTGCCATGTTCTCTCCAGCTGTGTCTGTCACTCTCTGCCCATCCCTCCACCCCACACCCAATCCCTGGGCTGTAAGCAGTCTTAATTTTTTTTCTCTCTCATTCACTGTAAGAGCCTTTCTCTTAACTATACCACAGTGGCCATTTCAGTGACTCTTTACTGCACCCCCTTACACACACCTTCCTTTTAGAAAAACCTGAAAAAGCATTTAATTACCCAAAGGTAACCATTAGTAATATAGTAACAGATTTATTACTTTTATACATACTCATGAATATTTTATGAAATCAAGATACTATGTAACATTTTTTAAAAATGACATATTGTGAACAATTTGCCTTGTTACTAAAAATGCCTTGAAAAATCCACGTTGCCCCTGTCCTGGGAATCAAACCCAGGTCCTCACACCTGCTGGGCAAGTGCTCCAGTCACTAAGCTACTTCCAGTTTCCTTGAAGACATACTTAATCATTCTGTAAATACTCTGTGAAGGAGTCAAGAGTGTTTCCAATTGTAACCCTTTCATCCATTTAATCAGAGCATGTAGTCCGAATTACATCCTACCACTCATTCACCTGAAACTGCTGAATATTTTAATAGTCTGCTCATGATCTCAAAACAGAAACAAAATAGCTTTCACAACATCTGTAGTTGGAAGTTTCTCTCCCGGTCTCCAAGTTCCAAATAAGCACCTGGAGGCTTAATACTAATTATAATTGCTTGGCTGATGGCTCAGGCTTCTAACTGGCTGGCTTTACATACAAATCAACCCATTTCTAATAGTTTATATTTTACCACGAAGGCTCGTGGCTTGTTACCTCACATCTTGCTCCCTGACCCCACCCGCTTTTTCTCTGTAACTCTGTTTGGATTTCCTACCTAGCTATATTCTGCCTGGCCTTTGGTCAAATCAGCTTTATTTATCAACCAATAAAAGCAACACATATTTGCAGCATACAGAAGGACAGGGCATCCCACATCAAATATTCATAATATAGACTAATACATCACAGGTATGGACTCATGAGCAAGTCCAACAGATAAAGGCACTTGCTGCCAAGCCTGATGACCTAAGTTCAATCCCCAGACCCACATAGTGGCAGGAGAAAACCAACTCCCACAGGTTGTCCTCTGACCTCCACTCACTTGAATACCATTGCACAAGCACTGCCCTCCCCAAATAAATAAACAATGGAAACAATAAAACACCACATACAAGTAACACAAAGTTCATTCCCTTGTCTTTTTCTGTATCTACTTTTGTTGATAGTATTCTTTGCAAACCATAATTCTGAGAGGACAATTTTAACATATCCCCTGGGCAACTCTATTTTAAATAGTATGCCATATAATGTAGGGTATAATGCCCATGAGTAGTAAATGGCAAACAAATGATGAGTCACTTAGTGAGTCACAGGGAAGAAAGAAGCTGGGTGTGGTGGCACAAGCCTGTGAACTTAGCACACAGGAGGCTGAGACAGGAGAATTGTGAGTTGGAGGCCAGCATGGACCTGTCCTATCTCTGGGAGGGGGAAAATGTAGCAGGCAAAGCCAACCTCCTTCAACATGACTCTAGACCCCTTTTTAAAATACTCTTCAAGGGGCTGGAGAGATGGCTTAACGGTTAAGAGCATTGGCTGCTCTTCCAGAGGACGCAGGTTCAATTCCTAGCACCTACCCTATAACTCCAGTTCCAGAGATTTCACCCCCCTTCTAGACTGAAGGCATGAGGCATGTAGGTAGTACACAGACATACATACATACATGCAGGCAAAACACATATAAATAAATATTTTTAAATTTTTTAAATTTTTTAAATTTTGTGGCAGGTTTAGTATCATTAAGAGTTCAAGAACTGCAAGGATAACAGCCACTTAAAATAGAACACTGAATGCATGAGAAAATACAGTGTAAGGTGAGACTCACTATTGAAGGGTATGTTGCAGGATTTTAATATTTTACACAGAAAAGGAGTGAGATGTTTGGTGGATCTATATGATCAGATTTGTATTCTGAAATGACTGCCTAGAAAATGGACTGTACACTATCGTAGACTTAAGAAGACGGGTTGGAAGGCTGACACATCAATCCAGGCAAAAGGTTATGTAGCTTAACATTTGTTGAGCTTTTATTGATGCTGAACTTTGACCATTTTTTTGCATTTGAATACCGGCAATAACTTAATCATGATAAACAAATCCTTCCAATAAAACAATTTGGACATACTATTAACGCCTTTACACAACAATTTTGTCTGCATTAATTGGGTGATTTGTCTGCATTAACTGGGTAAAGAATCTACCTCTTTAAAAAAATGTATAGTGTGGAGGGTGCACATGTGCCATGGTGAGCATGTAGTCAGAACACAGCTTTGTGGATTTGGTTCTCTCCATGTTTACACAGGTTCTGGGAATCAACTCTGGCTGTAATAAGACTTGTGTGGCAAGTACTTTTTTACCTGCTGAACCATCTTGCTGGTTCTGAACCCACCCACTGCTTTTGCAATCTTATCAACAGAATCCACAAATGAGGGCTGCCAAGTAGACTATTTTCCCCCTTTTTTTGTGTACTCATGGATTACCAACCTATGATCTACAGTCAGGCTTTTGATATAGAAGACACTAGCATATGAGGTTATTTCAACTGAAATTTGAAATTTAAAACCTTCAGTTATGGTGGCTGGAAAGGTGGCTCAGTGGTTAAAAGCACTGATTACTCTTCTAGAGGACTTGAGTTCAATTCCCAGCATCCACATGGGAGCTAACAATTTTCTCATTCCAGTTCCAAGGGGACCTGATGCACTCTACATGCTAGCAAAATGCCCATACAGATAAAATAAAAATAAATCTTAAAACCTTCCATTACAGCAGCAGATTAACAAGCTGAAGAGCTACATGTAGACAGCACAAACGTAGACCATTTCTATCATCACAGGGAGTTTAAGTGCACAGAGCCAACCAGCTGAAGGTGCATGTTACACAAACCTGACAATCTGAATTCAATTCTGGAATCCACATAAAGGTGGAAGGAGAGAACCAACTCCACAAACTGTCCTCTGACTTCCACACATGCATGCCCTGTACCCTCCTACCATGCACACAATAATACTTTTTTTAAAAAAGAAATTTAAAAAGTACAATGATGATATCTGAACTGACGACACACCGTTCCAGGATTTAAGAATTAAGTTATTATTTAAGCCTTTGTTAAATTTTATAGATTACAAAAAAGGAGAAATACTAAGACAAGACTATAAATGTCACCAGGCCCATCTCCTTGCAATGGAAGAAACATCAGAGCCCTTATGTCAACTCCAGATTTAGGACAAAGGCCAGGTGGTTTAAAGTCAACCCAAAATAAATTATGCACACCCAAATAAATATCCCTAATAAAAATAAAACAGTCTGAAAAGGAATAGTGAGTTGATTTTGTTCAAGAGATATATGACCTGGGTCTCAGCTGGAGAGAAAGTAAGGTTCTTTACACTGACAGGTGTCAGGAGGAAGCACAGAAATGACAAGGACATGTGTTCGGGAAAAGTCAAGTCTAGGTCACAAGGCAAAAGATTCAAATACATGACAGATATGGAAAGGGGGTTGGGAAAGAGAAGCATTTGGAGATAAAAGTACAGGCCAAAGATTTTGTCTAGAGGCACTTTAGGATCAGGTCTTGAAAGGATTGTCACACCATGTTACAATCTTAGAGCTTAGTTATGTGATCTGAAATTTACACATGGCTTAGATACTAAATTCAGAAGAGACTCATGAAAGGAGATATTCCAAAGCCACAATAATGACAAATCCCACAGCCTCTGCTCCCTAACTGCTAGGATTAAAGTTGTGAGCCACCACACCCAGTACAAAAGTATATCAAATGTTATCATGTGCAGAGTGTAACACTTGACAATGGTAGTAAGGGACTGTTACCGGTCTGTGTATTTATCGAGCTCTACTTTCCATCATTAATTTTCCTTCTACTTACAGCAGCTTCACAGACTTCCTGTCTACTGCATCCCAGTTGTATCAAGAAGCCATGACAAGGATTGACCTAAACCTAGATAAGACTTAATTACGTTCACATATGCACAACATAAAATCACCTGTAACACATCTCAGAATATATCCCCATTATTAAGCAATGCATGACTGTACGGGAAATGTACTGTGTGCTATTTCCTCTGCCTAGAATTCAACCAGTATTACCTAAGGCCCAACTCAATTGTGACCTCTTCACTTATTTCTTTTTGAGCTCTTAGGCATTTTATTTCTAGCTCCAGTGTCTTCTACATGTTTTAATCCTCACTTAAAGCTCCTGGTTTCATACCCTGCCCACCATGATATCTCCTAAAGCTTGGTAGCTGGTAGCTACCCGGTACTGGCTAAATTGTGTATCCTGGAGTGTATGCTAAAACATTAAGTCCTTATAGACAGGGCTTTTAGGAATGAACACTAAATGGAGGTTACAACTAGGCATACACCTGTAGTTTCAGCTACTTGAGAGGCTGAGACAAGATTTCTTGAGCCAAGGCTATTGGGGCCAGCTTCTACAACATAGTGAGACCTTGTCAAATATATACATACATACACAGATACATAAATGGAGGTCAACAGGGCAGGAACCCTAATCTACCACAAACTGGGGTCCTTATTAGAAAAGGAGGAGACATTTGGGACTCTGCTCCAACTACACAGACACTGGTGAGAAAATAGACATCAGCAAACCAGGAAAAGAGACCTCACCAGAAATTAACCCCAACCCCAATCTTCCCAAACTTTGGGACACTACATTTCTGTTCTTTAAGCCACTTCGTCTGTAGTATTTAGTTATGGCAACTTGAGCAGACTAAAAAAAGTACTCAATAAATTTTCCAATGTATGTTAAAAATAAGATTCAAAGCATCCAAGTTTAAATTTTCTTTTTTGTATTCTATTTCACTTTGGAAATAGGGTATTATCTGGGAGTATTACAATGGAGGGAAATACAGAAAGTTAAAACTCTTAAAAAATCTTTTAAGCTTAAAAAACAGAGCTGTGTGAAAACAAAGCCAGAACAGTACTAATAGTTGGAACTAGACAGAAAGGGACAGGGATTGCCTAGGAAAGCCCATGAGAAAACTTCTGAAGGTGAAAGCATCCATTTCAATGTTGATAGAAGTTTGCCTTACAAGAATATGTCAACATCAAACTGTGAAAAGTATTTGTAAATACCAATCAATACCTGTGGACTACATCACAGGCAAAATATATCCCTCCAAAATAGTAAACATGCATGAAGCATATTTAAAAGTACTATACTTTTGCAACTAACTTGGAAACTCCTTCTCAAATTAAAAGGTGAACTAACAGATTGAGAGGTGGATAAACAGATATAAAGTCAGGCAGATACGGTAAATCACTGACTATAGAATTTAGATGGTGGATACAAGGGCATTCACAATATAATTCTTTCATAATTGTGGAGTAAAATTCTACCTAATGTTTACAATAAAAAGACATAGGACTTTCAGTTTATTTCCACTGGCATTCAGTGAAGGGCTTTCCATAGTTATGATACTTACATACAAAATGATCTAACAGCTCTTAAGAATGTAAACTTTAATTAGTAATTTGTGAGAATTCCAGTCAACCATGTTTTATAATTTTACCAAACTCATGTAAAACTAAATGTTATACTAATATTTTACATTATTACAGCATCTTCATGTATTTTCTGGTCCTATCGCCTATTTACAAGTAAAAGATATGCCAAGGCCGATTCTCCGTTACCAGGTGTTTTGACTTTTAAAATCGGCTATTTATTACCTCTTTTGTCAAATAAATCGATTTGATGACGTTACCTTCAAGAACTAGCTACAAGCTACTCAAAGTATTAAGATTATTACAGCTAGGTCAACAATGACATGTGAAAAGAATTTTCACTATCTTTAGCTAAAAATACGCTTTCAAAGGTCGTGGTTTTTAAAATTCAGCTCTAATAACAGAACACACCACCACTAACTTTCGTTGTGAATTGATCAGCAACCACATAATTATTTTGAATTCTTGGGTGGGTATTAAGTTCTAGATCTTTGATGCTTTTAGTACAAAAAGACACATTTTTTTCCCCCTAAAGTGTCAGGATCAAGAAGGCAATAACATAGACCAGATATTAGAATTAGCCCTCCCTTCAAGCTTTCAAATAGTCTGCCTCACCAAACAGAACACTGTGCCAAACATTCTGTTTTATGAAGTACACAAGGCCCTTTTCACTTCTTTCTCTCCCACAAAAGCTCAAATCAGAAGTGGGAGAGGCATGGCAGAGGCTGGGAACTAAGTTCAGGGAGCTGCTGAACTGTCACAATACCTACCCTCAGCTTCCCAGCTCAGCTTTAGCTCTCCGGAATAAGCCAGAAGGACCTCGGGCACCTCCCTGTACTGAGCAGCCACGCTTTCCAAGGCCACCCCTAGCCCCCATGACCTCCAAAGGTTCCCCTAAAACAAGCTCTCATCCGCCTGCTTTTCCCCCAGTTTGTCCATACTCCCTCCCAGGCCAAAGCACGAAACAGGATCTGGGAACAAAAGGCTACACAAGGTTGCCACGTGAGGAAAACCTCATCACCTGGAACTCGGCGAACTCATCACAGTTCACACCGTCACTGGGCGCCGCCATATTGGACGACGGCGAGGCCCCCGCCGCTGGCCAATCACCGTGGAGCGGAGGTGTCCGCGGTGCTGCCTGATAGCAAGTAGTGTGAGCCGGGAGCTGAGAGCGGGGCTCGCCTTCCTCCAAGGCTCTTACCACTCTGTTCCTAGAGCATAAGGGAACTTGTTAATGAGGAACGAGATCAAAGGCGTTTGGGACGGTGAGGGTGGGCAGGCGATAAGAAGGACTAAATTTTTTTTTTTTTAAATAGCTAAGTGGAAACAGGCTTTCCTCAAGGATGTTCCAGAAGCCCGCCCTAGGGCCCCGGGCCTCGAGTCCCTCCGCGTGTGTGATTCGCTTGCACGGCCCTGAAACGCTACTCAGCACTTCACAGTTGGCAGACATCACCCTTTCTCCTCGGTCTTCATGCCCGGGCAGGGGAGGAGCCTGGCCCT